CCTGAGCTTGGAGTGTGCAGAGCCGGGCTGAGTCGGTCCCTCTGTCACTCTGCTTTCTGTCTCGCTCCCCTTCCTAACCCAGGGGGTGGGCTGTGGTTGGAGCTGAGCTGTGGGTTTCTCTGCATGAAGCTAATTGGCCCATTTGGGGCTTTGGCCCAGATTCCTAACTTCTTAGCACCTTTCTTTAGACAACTGTGCTTTGGATGAGAATGCTAATTGTCAATCATGAGGCAAGGCTTTCTCCAGTCCCCCCTCCCTCCCCAGGTCTGCATCCTCCAGGGTTGACTCAGAGCTGGGCTCGATGGGGCCCTGTCACATTGCAGAGAACAGCTCGTGAGCAACAAGTCCCTCCCTTCCCCTGGCCCCCGACCCAGCCTCCTCCAGGATACTGTGCATGTTTCCGGGCTTACACAGCACCATCCATGCAGAGCCATCCATGCGCCTATGTAGCCACAAACCTATTTGGTAGCAACCGAAAGGCGACCATCACCATGATGTGACTTTAGAACCCCAGCCGCCGCACACAGTCATAATCTATAAAGTACGGGGGGCTGGGGCTTCAGCACACACACTTGGCACAGGGGACACGAGTCGGCTCATAACTGTCAAGGCTCCACAGTTTTGGAATTGAAGATGCCGTCCTCATCTCCATGTCAGAGACCGACAGGTTCCCAGAAGCCGCGTCGTTTGCTGATGACCTTCACCCAGCGAGCCTCGCACACCCTTCACATGCTCTGTGTCTCCTGCCTGGCTGTGCGTGTCACAGGTATGGCGTTTATGGAGTGAATTTTATTTATTTATTTATTTTTAAGGATATATTTTATTGATTTTTTTACAGAGAGGAAGGGAGAGGGATAGAGAGCTAGAAACATCGATGAGAGAGAAACATCGATCAGCTGCTTCCTGCACACCCCCTACCGGGGATGTGCCCGCAACCAAGGTACATGCCCTTGGCCGGAATCGAACCTGAGACCTTTCAGTCCGCAGGCCGATGCTCTATCCACTGAGCCAAACCGGTCAGGGCAATGGAGTGAATTTTAAAAGGCACATTGAAATTCTAGATTCCTTTCACAGGAGGTGTATGTATCGACATCATTAATGGAGCTTCTGCTACTTACCCGCTGTGTGACCTCAAGCAGGTGACTCCACCTCTCTGGCCCTTGGTTTTCTGATCTATAAAACGGGGATGTTAATAGTACCTGCCTGAGAGGGCTGTTGTGAGGAAGATGTGCGATCATCGCTGTCTTTCATGCTTGAACAGGAACAGGGTGCCTGCATTATACAACCAACTGGCAAATGGAATAAAGTCAGTTTATTTTATTCTAAATAAATCTGTACACAGCAGGTCTACAACGTGTGTTCATAGCTATCTTTGTAGTGTTCTGAGAAGGATGCATTTTCATAACGTGACCAAGGGGTGGTTATCATTCCGCGTTAACATGTGAAATTGTTCTTCCATGCTGATTGTTTGGGTCTGTGGGTTATCACAGTTAAGTATCACCGTTTTCAGGGTGTTGTGTCATTTTACGTTGGCCGCGTGTCAGGGGCTGGTGTCATATGTCAGAAGTGCTTTCATTCCCGGGCTGTGCGTCACAAATGTGACCGCCCCGAGAATCGGAGCAACACGACCTGCTCTCAGCACGTTGGGTTTCCTTGGAGCTGGGGGACATGCTGGGCTGTTGGAGCAGCTGGACAGTTTGCGGGGGAGGCCCCTCACGTCTAAGGAAGACTCGATGTTAACAACCACAAAACCTAAAGGAAGGCGCATCCTGCGGAGGGGTTTGCTGATTTGGGGTGGGGTGGGGGCGGGGTGAAGGCCACCTCTGGGGTCTAGGCCTTCCCACTGCTTCTCTCACCCCTCCTGTGAGGTTCTCTACTCTGTGCGGTAGCAGCGGAACACTGGATATCACAGTCAAACGGTGATTGTTAAAAATACAGTGACTGAACGTTTAAACACGTATTCTCTGCCCCGTGCCTACCCCTCCACAATGTGCTGGGTGAGCCTGGGGATATGGGGGTAAAAGGAAAGCGATTCCTGAAGGCGTGGTGAGCTCCGGGACACACACGACTTCGTCAGGAGGAGAGAATCCGAAATTTGAATGAAGACATTAAAGTTCTCCGAGGTAGCTGTAAATAGTTTATGATAGAGTTTTCAACTGCTTTGTAGGACACGGATCACCAGACTCGTAAGCTTTCACAGCTATGAAACTTAAACTGTGAAGGAAAACTCCGTCCTCTAAATGACAGAGCTGCCCAGAACCTCACCCAGGGACCTTGTTAGAATGCAAATTCCCATTCGGTTGGGGGCTGGGGCAGCAGGACTGGGATCTGCATTCCTAACCAGCTGCCTTTCCTCAGACCCCAGGGGAGCCTGGATCTAAAACACACTGCTCCTGGGCATTCCCCCTGTGTTCCCTGCTTTCCTGCCCTGGGCACATGATCTGATAGTACTTCTGTGTGCACATGCATATATAGCATATGCATGTGCATGTGCTATAT